TTCTATTGCGGGTTTACTGATCCGATAAAGAGAATTTCCTGACTTATCGCTTTCCAACAAAACCACGTGTGATTGAGAAGGGATGACTTTCTGACGGGCCCATCTGAAGTCGTTCTTAAACCCACAACTGCCAGTCAGATGGGTCCTTTCTAAAGCAGCGTTTCGCAACGTTGGCAGCTTTCAGACATGGAGACTTCAGCTCCCGGAATTCTGGGAGTTGAAGTCCACAAGTTTTAAAAGTTGCCAAGGTCGGACACGCCTGCACAGACTGGACCTGTTAGGATGTCCTACTCCAGAAATGCATGCTTTTTCTTTTTTTTACTAGCTAAACCAGGGGTCTTCAAACTTGGCCCTTGGATGACGTGTGGACTTCAACTCCCAGAATTCCTCAGCCAGGCACGCGTGCCTGGCTGAGGAATTCTGGGAGTTGAAGTCCACACGTCATCCAAGGGCCAAGTTTGAAGACCCCTGAGCTCAACCTTTAAAAAAAAAAAGTGAATTATTCGTTTAGTAGATTGGAGGAACGTCCTGACATAGTCTACCTGGACCTCAGCAACGGCTTTGACAGATGGTCTCCGGATAGACTTCTTCATAAAATGGTAAAATAGGGGCTAGATCACCACAGCTGCATTCAGTTGAAAATGGAAGATACTCCTTAACATGCTGGCTGGGGGAATTCTGGGAATCGAAGTCCCCAAGTCTTAAAACTGCCATGGTTGAGTAATAATACTGTTCTAGAGTAGAGGTCCCCAACCTTTTGAGCACCAGGGATGGTTCCATGGGGAGAGGTTTTTCTGCAGACCGGAGGGTGCGTGGTTTCGTGTGCTGCCTACATCCCATGGATGGAGCCTTTGCTTGTTTGCGCGGACCGGTTGCTCGCATGCCGCGGACCGGTACCAATCCACGGACCAGGGGCTGGGGACTTCTGTTCTAGAGTATCTTCACTCAGAATGAAGTATGGCACAAGCGTCTTTGGCCACCTAACGAGAAGGAAGGACTCCCTGGAGAAGGGCCTAATGCTGGGAAAGATGGAGGGCAAGAGAAGAAGGGGGCGACAGAGAATAATGAGGTGGCTGGATGGGGTCCCTGAAGCAGCAGGCGTGAGCTTCAATGGACTCCAGAAGATGGTAGAGGACAGGAAGACCTGGAGGAACGTGGTCCATGGGGTCGCGATGGGTCGGACACGACTTTGCAACTAACAACAACTAGGCCAGTGATGGCGAACCTTTTAGAGACTGAGTGCCCAAAAACTGGCCTGTCCCCCCTCCACACCCCTGCCCCCCCATCCGCCGCCCCGCCTGCTCACAGGACCACTCTCTGCCTCCAGGGCCTGCTTCAGATCGCCCAGGCAGCCCAGCAGCGGTATGGCGGCCATGCCCTCTGCCCGTGCCCCGCAGCGTCAACTGTGTGTGATGGGGCGTGAGGGCAGAGACGTGTCTACGCTGCCTGGCTGCCATGTCCTTGGCTGCGCTGCTCCACGTGGGCCACGCTCGGGGGTGACTCTCCTCCAGGGGGGCTGCTGGAGAGGAGGGAGTCGCGGGGGGAGGCAAGGCTGGGGCAACGGCACGTGTGCCCACAGAGAGGGCTCCGAGTGCCGCCTCTTGACACCCGTGCCATAGGTTCGCCACCCCTGAACTAGCCTCTTTTGCTGAGGGCTTCCCTCATTATCTTGCCTTTCTGCTAGTAGCATGCTCTGTTCTGGGACGCCCCCCTTGTCCAGGAGTCCAGCTCTTTGCAGCCACCAGAACCCCGCTGCAGATGGCCTGCTGGGCGACAGGGCGGTCTTCCTGCTTTTCCAAGTCCTAAAAGAGCCGAGGCTTCTCTGGCGGCGGACGCAGAATGGTTAGAGCAGGCGGGAAGAGACCGCTGTGGGTCGGGAGGGAGAAGGTGGGGGCGGCTGGGACCTCCGGCTCTTGGTTCTGATGAGCTCCAGGAGGAAACTCTGAAGGCCTGCAGAGGAAGTTGCCCAACTTCTTTTGCTTTTGAAAGGAGGGGGCAGGACTTGGTTCTGACCTTCCTGGCAAGCCCTCCAGGCCTCTAAAGTCCCGCTGCCCTGCCTGGTGACCGGTTCCCCTTTTGGCCGCGCAGCGGGAGGCGGAGGGGCACCAGCCGTGGGGAGCTGGCTGAGGTGCTCTTTCGTGAGATTTAACATTTCCCGGGGGCTCCCGGCACGGCGTTCCAGTGAACAGAACGGCAGTGGGGGCGAACCTATGGCACCAGAGGCGGCACTCCGAGCCCTCTTTGTGGACATGCGTGCCGTCGCCCCAGCCCTGCCTCCCCCCGTGGCCCCCTCCTCACCAGCAGCCCCCCCCCAGAGGAGAGTTGCCCCTGAGCATGGCCCATGTGGAGCAGCACAGCCAAGACATGGCAGCCGGGCAGCGGGGGACAAGACTCCATCCTTGTGCCCCATCGCACGCAGTTGATGCTGCCGTGTGCGGGTGGAGGGCGTGGCTGCCACGTTGCTTCTGGGCCGCCGGGGTGATCTGCGATGGGCCGTGGATCCAGTGGGTGGCCCTGAGGGCGGGTGGGACGGAGCAGGGCCGGGGAGGGGTCAAGCGGGGCGGGGACGGTTTTGGGACACTCGGTCTCTAAAAGGTTCGCCATCACTGCCATAGACAGATGCTGCATCACAGCCCTCTGTAAGCGGCTGACAGAGTCAGCATTATTTGCCCCCCCCCAAACACTCTGGGTCCTCCATTTACCGACCTCGGAAGGACGGCAGGCCGCGGCGTCGATCCTTGAGCCCAGCCAGGATCGAACTGCCGGCAGTGAGCAGAGTCGGCCTACAACGCCTCCTTCCGACCCCTGCACTGTCACGGCTCCGAATAACAGAGTTGGAAGGGACCTCGGGGGTCTTCTAGTCCAACCCCCTGCTCAGGCAGCGAACTCCATAACGTTTCAGACAAACGGCGGTCTGGTCTGTTCTTAAAAATCTCTCTAGTCCTTCCGCTGGCTAATTGTTCCCACTGTCGGGAGGCTTCTGTTCTCCAGATGCACCTGCCGCGTGGCTCAAGGTTTCGCAAGTGGTGGCCTTGCCCCCGCCTTCCTTTCGTGCCCAAGGCGGGACTCGAACTCGCAGTCTCCCGCTTTCTAGCTGGGCCCTTAACTCCTGGACCAGCCTGCCTCTCTTGGATGGAAAAGCTGGTGCCAGAGAGAGGTGGAATGTCATATTCCGGGGTAGCGGCCATTTACCGTCTCGTGTGCTAACCGGGTCCTCCTCCGGCCACTTTCTGGAGAGACGGGGCGGTGGGGGTCTCCCTGCGCTCTCGCCGGCTCCCCTGGCTGAGATCCTGCAGGACGGAGTCCGTCTGCCATTTTAACTCGGCCCTCTCCTCTCTTCCAGAGTGTTCCTCCGACGGGAGTGGAGCCGCTGGGCTTCGTCCTTGGGGGGGGCCTCCAAGCCAAACCACTTTCTTCTCCGGCCACGCCAGGCTCCGGAAGCTGCATCGGTGGGATTGTGCCTGCTCAGGGAGGAGGAGGCTGACCCTCCCTCCCTTCCTCCCTCCCTTCCTCCCTCCCTCCCTCCTCCCCTTGCTCCTCCTGCCAGCTTGCCCTCCTCCTGCCAAGGGGCAGCACCGGCACACGGGATCCGTCAGGTGAGTGTCCGGCTCTCTGGGTCAGGGCGGGCCTGAGATGACAGCGGTCACTTCCACCCAGAAGCGGCTTCTCTCCTGGGGTCTGGTCCTTCCCCCCCCACCTGACCTGCAGGGGGCCCACCCAGCGATCCGAAAGACCCCAGGAAGCTAGTTTGGGACACTGAAAGACAGGCGGACCTCAGTTGAGCCCCAAAAGGTCTTATTGTCAAGTGAAGCGGTCGTTAAGTAAATTTTGCCCCGTTTTACGACCTTGCCACTGTTGTTAAGCGGATCACCGCAGTTGATAAGTCAGTCACACGGTCGTTAAGAGAAATCGACTTCGATTGCCGGAAGGCCGCAAAAGGGGGCCGCGTGACCCCTGGGACGCTGAGACCGTCGTAAATACGAGTCTGTTGCCAAGCGTCTTAATTTGGATCAGGTGGCCCTGGGGGTGTCGCGGCAGTTGCTAAGTGTGAAAAACGGGGTCCCGAGTCATTTTTTTCCAGTGCCCTTGGGACTTCGGACGGTCGCTAAATGGTCACTAAATGGACTGCTGTAACTTGAGGACCACCCAAACCGAGAAGCCGTGGAGGGTGGAGGCCGACCCTGAAGCCAGGCTGTAAGGCGGCCCTCCCCGCCCGTACGATGAACCCCCGTTACCTTTTACCTGGGGAGGGAGAGAAAAAAAAAGGCTGATTTATTTCGGTCCTCGCTATCTTGCCTTTTTTCCTTGAGATAAGTGACACATTAAAAATAGCCCTGGAAATAAAAGAAGGATCATAAAAGGGTTATCAGCAAGGTGGGGCTCTGGTGACGCTCCCGGTGCCACCCTGGCCTCGGGGCCGTTGCCGAAATCGCCTATCCCTTGCCTGAAAAAAAGATGAACCTTCGGGCGCCTGGCGGGCGGCTGACGGGCGCCTGCCTCTCCTATTGGCCCCAGAGGGCAGCTGCAGGCTGGGGCTGGGGCAAGGAGGGGCAGCAGACAAACCTTGTTTTGCTCAGATCCTGGTCCCCCCCCCAGTCACCCAGCCCCACCCCAATCTGGCAGCTCCAGATTGGCATCAGCCTGAAGGCATCACCCATTGGTGCCCTTTCCTCTTTTGTAGGTCCTTGGGGCTTTCCAGCCAGAGGGAGAGATTGACAGCCGGTGTTTAAGGTACATTAGGAGGGCACCCCTCCCCGAGAGCGGCATTGGCACCAACTGACCCGTGGGCTCTGTGCCATTGTCCCCTCCCACCCGGGCTGCCCCCTTTTTCCCTCTGGGGTCCCTGGAGAAACGGGGCGCAGCAGTAGCCATCTCTGCCTTTCAGTTGAAGAGCTGCGCCGTTCCTCGGGCCGCCTTCGGCACTTGGGGGTCTCCCAGGGCGTTGGGGAAGAGAGCGGAGACGGTTGCGGCCGGCCGGAGAGCAGCCCCAGAACGGGAGGATGGCCGCCGAGATGCTGACCTTCGGGCCGGAATGGTGAGTGGGGCAGGGAAGGGGCAGCCCTACAGCAAGGGGGCAGGGCGCGCGCCTGTCCCGCAACGGCCACTGAAGGCTTCTCTGGGCCTCGTCCGTGCGGGATCCAGTGGGAGTCGATCCCCAGGGCCAAAGTTTTATTCCTCCAAGCTTTCAGACTATTAGGGGAAAAGTCCCCCCCAGGACGGGCGCCAGCAGGGGTCCAAAAGCTTGGAAGACAGAGCTTCCGGTCCAGAGTGGATCCCGCCACAGGATCCTGGGGCGCGTAGATTCGCCTTCCTTCGTTTTAGGATATCCGTGGATGGGGAGGGCGAGGGGGATCCAGGCCTCTCCTGCTCTCTTTTCCTCTCCTGCTACCTGGCCAGGTGCCCCGAATCCCACAAGGGGCCCTTCCCTGGCTGCCTCCCCCAGCCTGACCCCTAACCCTTCTTGATCGCCCTCCCTGCCAGGTTGCCCCCCGCTGGCAGGCGGCCAGACCCCAGGGTGGGCCACCTCCCCCTGCTCTTCTCCTCCTCTGGCCTCACCTCGGCCTTTTCCCTCCCCCCCCAGGCTTCGGGCACTCTCCAGTGGGGGGACCGTGGCTTCCCCGCCATCCTCCCCCGCCATGCCAAAGTATAAACTAGCCGAGTACCGATACGGCCGGGAAGAGATGCTAGCACTTTACGTCAAAGACAATAAGGTGAGCCTGGATGCCCGGGCAGCCGGCTGGAGGGGCTCGGGGACCGGGCTGGGCTGGGGGGGCCTGGGTGCCGGAGAGACGACAACACACTCAAGCACACACACACACACTGTCCCTGGGCGGGCACAGAGGGACCTGCTGCTCAGCGCTTCTGTCCTCTGGGTCAGGGGTCTGCGAACCTGGCCACTTTACGACGGGTGGACTTCAACTCCCAGAATTCCTCAGCCAGCCCTGAGGGCTGGCTGAGGAATTCTGGGAGTTGAAGTCCACCCGTCGTAAAGTGGCCAGGTTCGCAGACCTCTGCTCTGGGTCACACAAGGGGCCACTGTTCTTCTCCCCCCCCCCCCCCCGGGCAGGTCCCTGAGGAAATGCAAGACAGGGAGTTTTCTGCCATCCTGGAGGAGGACCCTCTGCAGCCCCTGGCCCTGGTACCCTTAACGGAAGAAGAACAGGTGAGGGGTCGTCTGGGGTCAGCCGGCCGGCCGGGAGGACGCGGTGGCCTCGCCCCGCTCTCTCTCTCACCCCTTTCCCCTTTGGGCTCCTCCAGAGGAACTTCTCCATGTCGGTGAACAGCGTGGCCGTGCTGAGGCTGATGGGGAAGGGGGCCGGGGTGGCCCCTGCAGGGGTCTCCCGCGGGAGGGGCAGCACGCGGAGCCGAGGTAAGGAGACTTTGGGGGGAGGGGGCGGCAGACCCCCGAGGGCGTGGGGCCCCGGCTCCCTTTCCGCCAGGGGCAGCGGGCAGCTGCGGTGACGTCTCTCCTGTCCCACCCCCTCCCCAAAACAAGCAGGCCGCGGGCGAGGCGAGAGCGGCTTTTACCAAAGAAGCATCGAGGAGACGGACGGCGGCGCCTTTGGCCGGGGTGGCCTCCGCGAAATCCACCGCAGCCAGAGTTGGGATGACCGGTGCGTAGTAGGGGGCACGGGGGGGCTGACCTGGTGGGGCCTGCCTGCCTGTTCCACACCCTGACCCCCTCCTTTTCCTGCAGGGGGGATCGGCGTTTCGAGAAGCCCGTCCGGCGGGAAGGAGGTACGTGTGGCGCAGAGGGGACCCCCCTCCCCAGACTCTTGTAGGCACCCCCGTCCTCCCAGCAGGCCGCAGAGAGGGGGTCCCGCTGGGGCAGAGTGGGGGGCAGCTGTCCCTGCAAATGGGGTGACAGCAGCTCTCTTTCCTAGCCCGGGCCCCGTTTGAGGAGGGGGCTCCCTCCACCCGCAAAGACTTTGCCCGCTCGGATAGCGACAACTGGCGCACGCTGCGCGAGGAGCACGAGGAGGAGGAAGAGGGCGGTGGCGGCAGCGGCAGCGGTGGCACTGTGGGGACCGGGCCAGGAGGAAGCTGGCGGCAGAGCGGGGCGTCCCGGCGAGAAAGCGAGCGCTGGCGGTCGGCCAGTCCAGGTGAGCTGCCCGAGGGCCTGGCTCCAGAGGGAGGGGGCTGGGGACGGGGACCCTCTGGCTAATACAGGCTGTCCGGTTCGTTTAGCAGCCGTTCGGACTTAACAACGGCACCGAAAACAGTGATTTATGACCGTTTTTCACTCTGCAACTTCCCTGGGGTCACACAGCCAAAATTCAGACGGTTCATATGGATGACGGTCGTAGCGTCCCGGGGGAGTCACCGTCTGACAAGCAGAGTCAATTGGGGGGGGGGGGGCATTCAGTTAACTATGTCGCTAACCGAACAGCTGCAGTGCTTCGCTTTACAACGGCGGTGGGGAAGCGTCCCAAAACGGGGCAAAACCCACTCAACTACCTTAGCACGAGAAACATCGGGCTGGATTGTGGCTGTAAGCCGATGACCGCCTGCAGCCTCGACCTCTCCTTGCCTTCCCCTCAGATGGGGGCCCTCGCTCGGCCGGGTGGCGGGAGCACGGCGGGGACGGGCGCCGGCGGAAGTTTGATTTCGACTTCCGGGAACGGGACGAGGAGGCGCCAACGCGCGGCGGAGGGCGCCGTCACCGGCATAGCAGCGAGAGCTTCGAGGACGAGAAGGACGGCCTGCCCGAGTGGTGCCTGGAGGACGAGACGGAGGAGATGGGGACCTTCGACTCCTCGGGGGCCTTCATGTCCCTCAAGGTAGGCGCTCACCCCCTCATCCCCCCCTCCCGGTCCCTGCAGCACCCCCTGAAAAGGGAGGCCTCTGCATCGCGCCTCCCCCTGGCTTGGAGGTGCTGGCTGGGTGGCATCCGGACCTTTGCCAGTGCCGAGGAAAACTGTCAATCCGAATCAGAAGAGAGCTGGAAGGGACCTTGGAGGTCCTCCAGTCCAACCCCCTGCTGAAGCAGGAGACCCTAGATCAGGGGTCTCCAAACTTGGCCCTTTTATGACTTGCGGACTTCAATTTCCAGAATTCCTCAGCCAGGCACACGTGCCTGGTTGAGGAATTCTGGGAGTTGAAGTCCCCAAGTCATAAAAGGGTCCTAGTTCCCTCACGCTGGCTGAGGAATTCTGGGAGTTGAAGTCCACAAGTCACAAAAGAGTCATCGTTCCCTCACGCTGGCTGAGGAATTCTGGGAGTTGAAGTCCCCAAGTCATAAAAGTGTCCTAGTTCCCTCACGCTGGCTGAGGAATTCTGGGAGTTGAAGTCCCCAAGTCACAAAAAGGTCATCGTTCCTTCACGCTGGCTGAGGAATTCTGGGAATTGAAGTCCACAAGTCATCAAAGGGTCCTAGTTCCCTCACGCCGGCTGAGGAATTCTGGGAGTTGGATGTCCACGAGTCCTAAGTTTGAAGACCCCTGCCCTAGATCCCATTTCAGACAGGCGGCTGCCCAGTCTCTTCTTAAAAGCCTCCAGTGATGGAGCACCCACAACTTCCGGTGGCAAGCCGTCCCACTGGTTAATTGTCCTCACTGTCAGGACGTTTCTCCTTAATTCCAGGTAGTTTCTCCCCTCGCTTAATTTCCATCCGTTGTTTCTCATCTTGCCTTCTGGTGCTTTGGAGAATAAGTGGACCCCCTCCTCTTCTTTGGGGCAGCCCCTCAAACACTGGAACACTGCTAGTCCTTCTTTTCTGTAGACTAGCCAATCCCTGCAACCGTTTTAGCTTCGGTGGGCAGGAACTCTCCTGGTGTATGTGTGTTTCTCCTCCTCGACACACGGGGCAAGCTCCGACTCCTTGTGTGTTGGCCTGTTCTGTGAACGCAGCTTAGGGCTGGCCAGCTAAGAGAGACGGGCGTGGGACCCCCCCCCCCCAAAGGGGCTGGTGGAGCAGGCAGGGCAGAGGGTGCGTTGTGCCGAGGCCTTCCGAGGCTCCCCTTGCCGCCCTTCTGCAGAAGGGCCCCAAGGAGCTGCTCTTGGAGGACCAGGAGCTGAGCTTCCAGCCGCTGCCGGAGGAGCAGGAGGAGGAGGAGGAGGAGGAGGAGGGGCAGGAGGAGCAGCTGCCTGAGGCCAAGGAGGGGAACCCCAGGAGCAGCAGAGAGGTGCCCGTCAGCCCCACCGCCGTGGCAGAGAGAGGTGAGGGCAGGGCACGCGGACAGGGCTGGGAGGGGGGGAGGAGGGCAGGCACGGCAACCGGGCTTTGGAAGCTGAGACCTTCCCCCCCTCCCCCCTCCAGATCAAAAGGACCCCCGGCCAGGCCCAGAGGAGAAGAAGCTGCCTGCTCCCCCGGGCACCCCCTGGCATCCCAGCCCCCCGTTCGGCCCCCTTGCCACCCCCAGCGCCGCCAGTGACTGTGAAAGCATCGGACCGGGCAACTCTTCCAAAGCCGAGAAGCTGGCGCTGATGCCCTCTGGCAACTCCGAGGCGGAGGCAGGAGACGGTAGGTTGGCCCTGGCAAGGGCGGGGAGGGAGGGCTGAGTGGGCACCACCTCGCCTGCCCACAGGAGGAGCTGGGCAAGGGTCCCTGGAGCCCGGGGGGCAGGGGGATGAGGGAAGGGGCAGGGGGAGCCCTGGGTTTGATGCCTTCTTGCTCTTACTCTGCACCTGCCCAGGGGACCCTCTCGGCTGCCCTGCCCAGCCCGGCCCGGCCGTCGTCCCTCCCCTCCCCGCGGCCCCGTCTGCTGCTCCTGCCGCCGAGTTCACAGTGGGCGACAACGAGGACGAGGACGGGATGAAGCACCTGCAGCAGGTAAGGAGGCTCTCCCGCCCTCTGTGTGTGTTTGTGTGTTGCAGAGGGGTTTGACAGCAGAGGGCACCCCCCCTGCTTTCCCGTGCCAGGAGGGGGGGCCTTTGCCTGGCGGGTCCGCCTGGGGGACCCGGGGGGCGATGTCTCTGTTCCCAACTCATCCACAGCCAAGGGGGACCTGGCCCTTCAGCCCCCCAAGCCTCGTCCTTGCGGCCTGTGTCCCACCTTGGGGGCCCTCCTAATCCTGCCCCTCGTCCCCTTCTGCCTCCAGGAAGCGGAGAAGATGGTGGCCTCCCTGCAGGACAGCTCGCTGGAGGAGGAGCACTTCGGCCAGGCCATCGCCGACCACCGCAACACGGCGGCCGCCTTGCCCCTCTCCCACGAAGCAGCCATGAAGTGGTTCTACAAGGACCCCCAGGGGGAGATCCAAGGTGCGCCCCTCGCCTTCCCCGAGCCCAGGGGGCTGGAAAGGGCGGGTGTCGGTCGGACTTAACTCACACGGGCCCTTTCTCTCTCTCTCTCTCTCTCTCTCTCTCTCTCTCTCTCTCTCTCTCTCTCTCTCTCTCTCTCTCTCTCTTCCCCCCCCAACCAGGACCCTTCACCACCCAAGAGATGGCCGAATGGTTCCAGGCGGGCTACTTCACCATGTCGCTCTTGGTGAAGCGGGGCTGCGACGAGGGCTTCCAGCCCCTGGGAGAAGTGATCAAGATGTGGGGAAGAGTGCCTTTCGCACCCGGTCCATCCCCCCCACCGTTACTGGTGAGCCTGGGCTGGGGGAGGGCTGGGAGGGAACGGCTGGGCGGGCACCTGGCCTGCTTTCCCAGGCCCTTCATTTTGGCAGCGTTAACGTCAGGGCTGGTCAGCTGTACAACGTGTGGACTTCAACTCCCAGAATCCCCCAGCCATCAAAGGTTGGCCAGAATTCAACAAGGTTGGCCAGAGTATTGCAATTTTTTTTGATAAGGGTAAGTTTCTTAGTAGACGATGGGAATGCGGTAAATTTAATATATCTTGACTTCAGCAAAGTGGAAAAAAAAGCTGGATAGGGAATTCTGGGAGTTGAAGTCCACATGTTTTGTTAAAGTGGCCGAGGTTGGACACCCCCGCTGTAAAGTTCCTTAAAAAGAAACAAAAACAACACCAGGACATCCAAAGGATGTCAATTCCCGGTGGTCTGCTAGATTCTATTAGGGGTCTCCAAATTTGGCCCCTTTAACTCCCAGAATTCCCCAGCCAGCCAGCGTTGACTAGGATTCAGCGTGGATAATGGCCAGAGCAAATGTGGCTAGGCTATTCGTCGCATTTTTCGATAGTTGTGATTTTCTTAATAGACGGTGGGAATGTGGTAGACGTAATATATCTTGACTTCGGCAAAGTGTAAAAAGTGCCACCTGGGGGATTCTGGGAGTTGAAGTCCACGCGTCATAAAAGAGCCAAGGTTGACTACCCCTGATTTTAAGCCATTTGGGGCCGTTCTGGGGTGGGGCTTGACACCCCCTTCGTTGAGAGCAGTCCTTCCCCCCCACATCTGCTCAGACCCCCAAGGAGGGGGCGTTAAAGACCCCCGCCCTTCCTTTCCCCCTCTCCCTTGGCTTGCGTGGGAAGGGCCCCCCCCCGGGCCCTGGGTGGGGAGGGTCCTGTCCTGGTGCAGGGGGTGGCTGACCTCCCCTGCTCTCCCCTCCCCAGGGGAACATGGACCAGGAGCGCCTGAAGAAGCAGCAGGAACTGGCAGCTGCCGCCATCTACCAGCAGCTCCAGCATCAGCAGTTGCTTCAGCTCGTCAACAGGTAGGCCGTGCCCCCTTCCCTTTCCTCCACCCCCCCCGGGAAGGGCGTCCCCCAGCTGGGCCAGGGGTCCGCAGCCCGCCGGACGTTTCCAGGGGGGCTCCGCCCCGCCCCGCCTGGCTACTCCGCCTTGGTCTTGCAGCCGGCAATACGCCCAGTGTGGCCTCCAGCAGAAGGGGTCCTCGGGGGATCTGGCCCAGCAGCAGCAGCTCACCACCTTCCTGCAGCAGCTGCAGGCGCTCAAGCCCAGGTGAGCCCCCTGCGCCCCCCTCCCCAGGGCAGCTCGGAGCCGGCCGAGGGTGTGGGGGGGGACATTTGGGGAGCCAGGGCGGCTTTAGCTCCACCCCCCCACCCTCTTTCTTGCTTCTCTTCCAGAGCTGGGGAGCAGGGTCTGATCCCCTCCATGAACCGATCCATCTCTGTGCCAGACACTGGGTCCCTCTGGGACACACATACCTCAGCTTCACCGCAAGCAGGTCGCTGACGGGCGTGGAGGGGGACCTCCGGTGGGGTGGTGGTGTCCCGGGATTGAGGCACTGGGCTGGAATTCAAAACCCGTGGGAGCAAAGTCCCCATCGGGAAATCCCTGGCTTGGCCCAGCAGGGCCAGAATCCGGAGGGAGGCGGAGGAAAGGAAGGATGCTGGGCTTTGTGGTCCTCTGGATAGGGTCCTCGTGTCCCCGCGGGTGGCAGAGCCCGGGACCCTGGAGGGCAGCCATTCCAGAGGGGGGGGGCAGGCGGGCAGAGGGAAGTGGGGGTCAGGAGGAAAGCTCTCTCTCTCTCTCTCTTTTTTCTCTCTCGCTTTTTCTTTCTCTGTCTTTTTCCCTCTTTTTCTTTTTTTCTTTTTCTTTCTCTTTCTCTTTCTTTTTCTGTCTGTTTTTCTTGCTTTCTCTCTCTCTTTTTCTTTCTTTTTCTTTCTGTCTCTTTCTCTTTTTCTTTCTCTTCTCTCCCTCCCTCTCTTTATCTCTTTTTTCTCTCCCCCCCTTTCTCTTTTTCTTTCTGTTTCTCTTTCTGTCTCTCTCTCTCTGTGTGTCTTTTTCTCTCTCTCGCTTTTTCTTTCTCTGTCTTTTTCCCTCTTTTTCTTTTCCTTTTCTTTTCCTTTCTTTCTTTCTCTTTTTCTGTCTTTCTATCTTTCTCGCTTTGTCTCTTTTTCTTTTTCTTTCTCTTTTTCTTTTTCTTTTTTTTTTCTTTCTTGCTTTCTCTTTCTTTCTGTCTCTTTCTCTTTCTCTTCTCCCTCTATCTCTTTTTCTCTCCCCCACCTTTCTCTGTTTCTCTTTCTGTCTCTCTTCCAGTCTGGGGGGGTCCCTTCCTGCTTAACCTTGTTTTCTCTTCCAGGCGGTGAAGCCAGTTTGTGGGATATTCCAATTAATTCTTCAACTCAGGGTCCGATCTTAGAACAACTTCAACTACAACATAAAGTGAGTTGACCCACACTCCCCCCCGAGAGTGGCCCTAAGAAGGGGGCGGCCAGGAGGGCCCCCCGTGACCCGCTCTGCCCCCCTCTCCCTCAGCTGCAAGAGCGCCGAGGGGCCGAACTCAGGGCTAAGCGGGACGAGGACGAACGGAAGCGGCGCGAGGAGGAAGAGCTCTACCGGCGCAAGCAGGCAAGGGCAAGTGCCGGGCGGCCCCACGGCCGGGGGGCGGGGCAGGAGGGAGGAGGGAGGGGCATGTGGGGTGGTGGCAGCCGGGCTCGACCCATTCCGACCCAGGGGGAGCGAATGGGGTGAAGAACTGGGTGCCCTCACCCCTGGGGGAGGAAGGTACCTATAAAGGAGAATATTTCCAGCTCAAGGGTTGAAATGAGGGGTCCCTGGTGGTCTCTGGGCTGGGTGGTTTCCTTGCAGACGTTTCATGACCCAGCTAGGGAACACCATCAGGGCTAGAAAGGAGGAAGGAAGGAAGGAAGGAAGGAAGGAAGGAAGGAAGGAAGGAAGGAAGGAAAGAAGGAAGGAAGGAAGGAAGGAAGGAAGGAAGGACNGCCCCCCTCCCCAGGGCAGCTCGGAGCCGGCCGAGGGTGTGGGGGGGGACATTTGGGGAGCCAGGGCGGCTTTAGCTCCACCCCCCCACCCTCTTTCTTGCTTCTCTTCCAGAGCTGGGGAGCAGGGTCTGATCCCCTCCATGAACCGATCCATCTCTGTGCCAGACACTGGGTCCCTCTGGGACACACATACCTCAGCCTCACCGCAAGCAGGTCGCTGACGGGCGTGGAGGGGGACCTCCGGTGGGGTGGTGGTGTCCCGGGATTGAGGCACTGGGCTGGAATTCAAAACCCGTGGGAGCAAAGTCCCCATCGGGAAATCCCTGGCTTGGCCCAGCAGGGCCAAAATCCGGAGGGAGGCGGAGGAAAGGAAGGATGCTGGGCTTTGTGGTCCTCTGGATAGGGTCCTCGTGTCCCCGCGGGTGGCAGAGCCCGGGACCCTGGAGGGCAGCCATTCCAGAGGGGGGGGGCAGGCGGGCAGAGGGAAGTGGGGGTCAGGAGGAAAGCTCTCTCTCTCTCTCTCTTTTTTCTCTCTCGCTTTCTCTTTCTCTGTCTTTTTCCCTCTTTTTCTTTTTTTCTTTTTCTTTCTCTTTCTCTTTCTTTTTCTGTCTGTTTTTCTTGCTTTCTCTCTCTCTTTTTCTTTCTTTTTCTTTCTGTCTCTTTCTCTTTTTCTTTCTCTTCTCTCCCTCCCTCTCTTTATCTCTCTTTTTTCTCTCCCCCCCTTTCTCTTTTTCTTTCTGTTTCTCTTTCTGTCTCTCTCTCTCTCTGTGTCTTTTTCTCTCTCTCGCTTTTTCTTTCTCTGTCTTTTTCCCTCTTTTTCTTTTCCTTTTCCTTTTCTTTTCCTTTCTTTCTTTCTCTTTTTCTGTCTTTCTATCTTTCTCGCTTTCTCTGTCTCTTTTTCTTTCTCTTTCTCTTTTTCTTTTTCTTTCTTGCTTTCTCTTTCTCTCTTTCTGTCTCTTTCTCTTTCTCTTCTCCCTCTCTCCCTCTATCTCTTTTTCTCTCCCCCCCCTTTCTCTGTTTCTCTTTCTGTCTCTCTTCCAGTCTGGGGGGGTCCCTTCCTGCTTAACCTCGTTTTCTCTTCCAGGCGGTGAAGCCAGTTTGTGGGATATTCCAATTAATTCTTCAACTCAGGGTCCGATCTTAGAACAACTTCAACTACAACATAAAGTGAGTTGACCCACACTCCCCCCCCGAGAGTGGCCCTAAGAAGGGGGCGGCCAGGAGGGCCCCCCGTGACCCGCTCTGCCCCCCTCTCCCTCAGCTGCAAGAGCGCCGAGGGGCCGAACTCAGGGCTAAGCGGGACGAGGACGAACGGAAGCGGCGCGAGGAGGAAGAGCTCTACCGGCGCAAGCAGGCAAGGGCAAGTGCCGGGCGGCCCCACGGCTGGGGGGCGGGGCAGGAGGGAGGAGGGAGGGGCACGTGGGGTGGCAGCCGGGCTCAGCCCATTCCAACCCAGGGGGAGCGAATGGGGTGAAGAACTGGGTTCCCTCACCCCTGGGGGAGGAAGGTACCTATAAAGGAGAATATTTCCAGCTCAAGGGTTGAAATGAGGGGTCCCTGGTGGTCTCTGGGCTGGGTGGTTTCCTTGCAGACGTTTCATGACCCAACTAGGGAACACCATCAGGGCTAGAAGGGAGGAAGGAAGGAAGGAAGGAAGGAAGGAAGGAAGGAAGGAAGGAAGGAAGGAAGGAAGGAAGGACTGACTGTGGGGTCCTTGGTGGTCTCTGGGCTGGGTGGTTTCCTTGCAGACGTTTCATGACCCAGCTAGGGAACACCATCAGGGCTAGAAAGGAGGAGGAAGGGGAAGAACTGGGGAGGGGGAATCTTTGCTGCTCTCTGAGCAAGCCCCACTCCTTCCTAGCACGGATGACGTTCCCTAGCTGGATCATGAAACGTCTGCAAGAAAACCACCCAGCTCAAGAGACCACCGAGGACCCCTCGGGAAGAGGCCCGCCTCGGTGGTGGCTTCCTTGGGGAGGGGGCCCGGGGCAAGAGGGTCTGCCTGGCCATGAGCAGTGTTGTGGGCTTCCTCCCTCCAGCTGCCCTCCTCTTCCTCGTGGGGCCAGCAGTCTGTCAACGCCTCCTCCGGGCAGAGCAGCTTCAGCCTGGCCGACCTGCAGAAGCTGGGAGACGCTCGGGCCTGCCGGGAGCTGCGAGAAGAGGTGAGCCCGGCCCCCTCCGGCCTCCCCCCACTCCCCCACCCCACCCCACCCCAGGGGCCTCGGGCACAGGGGGCAGGGCGAGTGCCGGATGCCAACCGCCCTGCCCCTGTCTCTCTTCCTCCCTCCCCCCCTTTCCCAGGTCCGCCACCAGGAGATGCTGCTGAAGCTCCTCCAACAGCAGCAGCAGCAGCAGCAGCAGAGCACGCAGCCCCTCTGGGGGGGCCTGGCCAAGCAGAGCCCCTCCCTGAAGGCCCTGCTGGAGTTGCAGCAGGAGAGCGAGAGGCACCTGCAGAAGCCGGCCCAGCCCGCCCGGGCCCAGCAGCGAGCGGTGAGTGTCCTCCGGAGCCCTCCGCCCTCCGGACAAGCAGACCGGCTTTTGAGGAGGGGGGAGGAGTCCCAAGTCTCCTGGCTTGCTCTCGTACCTCCCCCCCCGTGCTCCTGCCTGCAGCCCCCTCCCCAGATCAAGAGGGCATGTGCCAGCCCCTGCCCTTCACAAAGGGGAGGTGTGTTGGGAGGGGGCCGTGCTTTAAGGCAAGGAACCCTTTCGGGCACTGAGGGGGGTGCAGGGAGCACTGCCTGGGGGTCTTGAGGGTGGGGGGGAGAAGGTTTACCGCTGGGCTTCCTGCTTTAGGGGTGCTGGGGTTCCCCTCGGCTTTTTTGTCTCCGGTTTTCTCCCCCTCCCCATCGCAAAAATGGCCGGGAGAGACGGGGGCTGGCGCTCCGCAGAAGCTCCGGGTGACCCATTTCTCTTTCCTCCCCGGCTCTGCCTGCTAGCATGGTGGACACGGTCTGAGCAGCCTCCCCTCTCAGTGGGCTTCGGACGTGGGTTCCCTGTGGGGCAGCCATGACAAGGCCGGCCCGCTCGGCCTCTGGGAGGAGAGCATGAAGGGCCCCGGCCCCCTGGCCCGCAACCTGGGCCTCAGGAACAGCCGGAGCAGCCCCTCGCTAGGGTGAGTCGCCCTCGGGGAAGGGGGGGATGCCCATGGGGCCGAGCTGGGTCCCCCTCTCCCCCTCTCTTTCACACACAGACTCTCACTCTTTCCCCCTCTCACTGTCATTCTCTCACACTCTCACACACATTCTCTCTCTCACACACTCACACACACTCTCCCTCTCACTCTCACACACATTCCCTCTCCCTCTCATTCTCACACACTCTCACTTTCTCACACACATTCTCTCCCTCTCTCACACACACACTCTCCCACACATTCTCTCCCTCTCACTCCCTCTCATTCTCACACTCTCACTTTCTCACACACACTCTCTCACACACATTCACTCACTCTTACATTCTCATCTCACACACATTCTCTCTCTCTCTCTCCCTCTCTCTCACACACTCTCTCCCTCTCCCTCTCTCTCATTCTCACACACTCTCACTTTCTCACACACATTCTCTCCCTCTCTCACACACACATTCTCACTCACTCTTACACTCTCATCTCACACACATTCTCTCTCTCTCTCTCTCTCACACACACACTCTCTCCCTCTCACTCTCTCTCATTCTCACACACTCTCTCACACACATTCTCTCCCTCTCTCACACACATTCTCTCTCTCACTCTTACACTCTCATCTCACACACATTCTCTCTCTCTCTCTCCCTTTCTCTCTCTCTCATTCTCACACACTCTCACTTTCTCACACACATTCTCTCCCTCTCTCTCACACACATTCTCCCTCTCTCTCTCTCTCTCTCTCTCTCTCTCTCTCTCTCTCTCTCTCTCTCTCTCTCTCTCTCTCTCACACACACTCTCTCTCCCTCTCTGGTGGGCCCAGGGACACGTATTCGGTCTCCAGCCGGCAGAGCAGGAAGAAAACGGACGAGGAGGAGAAGCTGCTGAAGCTGCTGCAGGGCATCCACAAGCCTCCGCAGGACGGCTTCACCCAGTGGTGCGAGCAGATGCTGCACGCCCTCAACGTCTCCAGCAGCCTGGATGGTGCGTCTGGGGTGGGGTTCTTCTCAAGCAGAGCGCCCTTTCAGATGGGCGGGGGTCTGCTGGCTGGTAGGTCAGCCGGGTTAGGGCGAGGCGAGTAGGGAGCGGGGGGGGGTGTCCCCTGGGCAGGGTCGGTCTGCCTCCCTGAGAAAGGCGGCTGCTGTAAAGAACGGCTGCCCCGTGTCCCCCCCCCAGTGCCCACGGTGGTAGCTTTCCTGAAGGAGATGGAGTCGCCCTACGACGTCCATGACTGCATCCGCTCCTACCTGGGAGACACCCTGGAAGCCAAAGAGTTTGCAAAGCAGTTCCTAGAGCGCCGTGCCAAGCAGAGAGCCAATCAACAGCGGCAGCAGCAGCAGGTATGGGGCATGGGGCCGAAGGGGGGGGGGACACAGCCACGCTTCATCGTTGGCAGCCATTGGTTTCTGCTTTCCTGGGCCGTAAGCGGGGCTGGGTGAGTGCTGCAGGGCATCGTCCCTGCCCCCTCGGCCGGTCGGTCTCCAGGTGCGGGCCTTCCCCGCCCTCCCTCCCCTCGGCCCTGAGGCCGGCGCCCGACCGGTCCGAGGACGCCAGGCCCGGCCACATTGCAGCTCCCCCCCCTTTGTCCCCCCCCCTTGCAGGAGGCCTCGTGGCTCAGCTCCAGCAGCCTGCAGTCGCTCTTCCAGGCCAACCACAGCCCCAAACCGCCATCCTTCGAGAACAGCCAAGCCGTGAAGATCAAGAGGCGCCCGGTGATGCTGCACGCAGACCCCAGCATCCTGGGTGAGCCAGCCCGGAGGGGAGGGGAGGGGAGGGGAGGAAGGCGGCTACTTCCAGGGAATTTGTGGGGGGGGGGCGCTTGGTCGGGAGGAGGGGGTGGCAGCCTGGCACTGTGGGACCGGTGTTTCCTGGCCGCAGGACGATTCAGCCATTCAGTTTAACTATTTAAAATAGTTAAAAAATCATTTCGATTTGTGCCGTTCGCCTGTCCGTTTTGTCCCTGCTTTGGCACCCTTCCTCCAATGACTTTCCCACCGTTTCTTCGACGTTGGTGTGACTCTGTCGCACGGCGTCGTCGCGTGGCAAGTTGTGGCAGACCCTTCCCCTCCTTCCTTGCAGGCTACGCTCTTCATGGCGCCTCCAGCGAGCTGGAAACCGTGGAGGACTATTGAGCCCCTCCCTCCCTCCAGCCGTGGGACCCCCGTCCTCCCTGCCGCTGCTGCCTTGATCTCACCCATTTCAGTTCCGGCTGAGTGTGCACTGCTGGGGGGGCCTCGGGGCCATCCGGGCCCCCGGCGAGGGAGCGCGAGGACCATCAATCAGCTGGGCCAGGCCAGACCGGAAGGCTGTTTGCGCACTTCATTCCTTAAAAAAGCACCTTAAACAACACCCTCTTTTTCTGCCATGCACTTTATCGGAACTTTTGTTTTTTGTTGTTTTTTTTACAGTGACTTGTTACAAATTGAGAAAAAAAAAAGGAAAAAAAAAAGTTTTTTTTTTGAAATTGTGAATTTTTTTTAAAAAAAGCTTAAAAACTACAAAAAAGTTTATCTTAAAAAAACACTTATTTTTCACGTGGGGATATGTTTTAAAAAATGTGAACGATAATTTCACAGAAGCTTGATATAAAAAGATTTATAAAAGAAAAAAAAACTTGAAGAAATGCACTTAGAAAAAAGGATTTTTTTAAAAAAACTGTTTGCATAGGTAACAGATGTAAATACTCTTCAGACTCTTGATCCGCACAGTATATTTTCTCTTACGAAGAGGCCATTTTATAAGAAGTTTTTTTGGGTTTTGTCGAATATTTTTTTTTTAAGAAAATTGCACAAAAAATGCCTCCCTCCTCGTTTCCTTTTTCTCCACCCCACCCTGGACATTACAATTTTGTATTGTGTTTGATTTTTAAAAAAAAAAACAAAAAGAAAAAAAAAAGACTGCAAAAAGAGGAATATACACTACTGTTGAAGCGGGTCGCTCCTCCAGAAGCTGCTTCTCCAAGCTGATCCCGGATTCCGGCGTCTCCTCCTGGATCTCCAGGATCCGTCGCAGAGCCCCCTCCCTCCCTCCGTCCGTCCGTCCTTCCAAGGCGATGCTCACGGCCTCCTGCCTGCCTGCACTGGTCAGCGGGCAGTTTTCCTCCAGCGGCCGGTGTGTGGATGCACTTTTTCTAGCAAAGGAAAGCAGACACCGAATGTTGTGAGTCTCCACGTTTCTCCAGCCCCCTCCCAGTTCCGTGCACGGATGAGAATCATGAATCGTATGTCCTGCGAAGGTGTCCCGCGGGTGCCCTGCCCGTGGCATCGACAACCGGAGCGAATCGGTGCACCCAAAGCCAAATTTGAATGTATCCTACTTGGGTGACACTTTTGGCTCCAGGCCTCCCTCCCTCCCTCCCCCCCGCCAGTTGTCAGCGAAGGTGCTGGACACAACTCTTAATGTGCGAGTGTGGGACTGTTTTTTGAAACAAGCTAGCCAGAGACGTGACGTTCATAGCACATTCTCCGTTACCCGGGGGCTGCGTCCCAATGTACTTCTTTGTGTGTGCACGCACGCACAAGCACCTGCTCTTTTTTTGTTGTTTGCTTGCAAGGACCTTTTTTCGCCTACAATCCATCCTGAGTCCTGGGAGGGGGGACTGCCTGGACACAGGGTACTTGGAGTACGTGGAGGGTTGCGTATGCCGCCTGGCGACCCCAGCGCCCTACGAGGGCTTGACGATGGACCAGATTGTGCCCTGCAGCCACGTGGTTTCCTTTTTCGTTGAACCCCCCCCCCCGGTCCCACCCACCCACCCACCTGCCAAGATTTTCCCCCTTGCAAAGGCGAGAGGACACGGAGAAGCTTCTGGAAGTGACCCGTGCCATCTTGTGAGACGGGTGAGCTCCCCTGGAAATGCGTCTCACAAACACACAGCGGCACGGAGGACTCTGGAGCGCCAGGTGCCGCTCGCTTTCCCATGGTGCGTTTTGAGTAGGGGGGTGGGGGGGAGAAAAGGGGGGGCATCTGAATCAACCCACTTTTGACTGCAGCAGGAGGGAAAAACCCCGCCTGGTTGTGACCAAATGCCGAAAGACTGTTTGGGGTTTTCCGCCTTATGCCAAGCCAGGTAAGACTCCAAACCGGGACTGATGGATCGTGTGTGCGTCTGTGTGTGTGTGTGCGTGCGTGTGTGTGCGTGCACATCTGCAAGAGAATTCAGTGATTTTTGTAACTAATACTGTGATGCTTGGAGGGGTCCTCGTTTGCCGGTAGAGTCTCTGCGGGAGTGGGAAGGCCGGCCTTGCTGGGGAGTGCTGGCCCCCGGCCCCCCCGGGGCCTTTGCAGTATTGAGACCCTTGGGGGTCACTGTCCTCAGTCTGCCCCTCCGACCGGGAGGTGAGCTGGGGCTTGGCACCCTCCTGCCGCCACTCGCTGGGGGCCCGGCGTGGCGCCCGCTTGCCGCGGACATCCGTGGGACGCACCGCCGCCAGAATGTATGCGCAAAATCGCTTCGCCGCCTGCCTTTGGGCTGGGAGCTGCCTCTGACTTGGAGCCCCCCCC